AATCTAAAAGAATACCATCAAGAAGTTGTTGGTATCATAAAAAGTACCATCACTAACAAAATATAGAACAAGAAAAACACCAAATACCATCTGTAGGGAATATTTCAAGCATTACCCCTAGCTTGAATCCCACTGTGATCATACAATAAAGTACGGTGGCATCCAAAGGCAAAGAAGATAGATCAAAAGAGTCGCCAACAAGTTTTAGGAACTTGTAAACCGTTCACGAGGTGAAGGTTACACCCCTTAACGATCCAGGAGATCGTCAACTCCAATAGGTCTAGAACCATGACTGGTAGTTCGGGGATGAAGGTACAAATCCAACCTAAAAGAGATTGAACCTGCCCTAATAATAGGCCTCTACTTCATTCTGATTGTATTCATGTGCGCTTTCTGACTAACATGCAATCATTAGGATTAACCCTAAACCTGTTTATCTGTGTTGGTTGAAAATTAATGCACAAATAAAACTATTATTGGCGATCACTTGAATTATAATCATATTAACCCTAAACAAGACCCTAAACAAGATTATTAATTATCTTATTAAGCGTGATTACAAGTACATATTCCCTTTAAACATACATAAATGATGTGATGAAGCAATAACAATAAATAATCAAGCAACATAATAATAATCATAAAAATAATGATAATTATGACAAATATAATAATAATCATCATCATGTTAAAACATAATAATAGCAAGATCCTAGGCATGATACTAACAAGATTAATAACAAACCCTAGCATGTCACTAAACAATAAAGATCAGAGCTTTAACCCTAACATGATACTAACAATCATAAATATTAGGAAGAGAAAGGGAAGCATCGCAGGAATCATAAATTGTCATATTTGATATTAAAAATTATAGTTGTTACCCTAAACATGATACTAGGAAAATCAAAACGCCCTAACATGACACTAGGGATCATAATAACAACCTAAGCATGATTTCTATATCATAATAACAATAAATCAATTAAAGCACTTACTTGGAGGCCTCACATCTCTTTCTACAAACAAAATACACACGTTAGTAACTTCAAGGAAAATAATAAGATAAACAATTAAATTAAATAATTGAAATAAAGAATTAAGAAAGTTTAGACTAGATTTGGGACCAAACCCTCAGAAATTAAAACCTTTCACGTCTAGGGCGAAGACAACTTCGAACAATGCTAGGTGTGTCTAGATCTTGTGAATGCGGAATTTTGTTTGAGAAAAACTATTTTAGAAAAGAGAGAGAGAGAGAGTAACCAAGATAATCTTGAAGAGAGAGAGAATTGAGAATTAATTGTTGTTGATGATTAAAAACGGAGGTTTTAGAAGGCTATTTATAGAGAAAATCAGCCGGATGGATAAAAAACGAATCCGAGTTTTGAAGAGAATAAAACGCATTGGCGCCAGGCGCCAGACATTAGCGCCAGGCGCCAAACCTAGCGCCAGATGTCAATCATGTCGTTAGACGCTAGAAACCAGTTTCTACGCGTTTTCTTAATTTGATAAAATTTAGCCGTACAGGAGGGCAAAATCGTATTTTCCTTAAAAACACTTCTTTTCTTCTGATCAAAACTCTAAAAAGTCAACTAAAGTCAATTTATCAATGCTAATTAAATTAGGAATGAAAAGAACCTTTTAGAAGAATCTAGAAAACTATAATCAATTCTAATTGCATTAGAAATGATAAATCAATATTAGACCCTCCTCTAGATCATTGGGCCTGATGAGTGTCATTTATGGCACTCATAGGGTAGTCTTATAGGATGATTTCATATTACTTTTTATGCTTTCTTATCTTATTTTTGGTCCTTTTTCCTTTAATTCCTTTCTTTCTTTCTTTCCTTGTGTTTTTCGTGTTTTCTTCGTGTTTTCCTTTTATTTGGTTCTTTTTCCCTTTTATTCCTTTTCGTTGTTTGTTCTTGTAGGTACCTAGGATTTGTCTTAGCAAGGGAATCAAGATGGGCTATATTGACTAAGCAAGGAGGAAATAATCGACTTGGAGAGGGCTCAGAGAGGGCATGGAGAGGGCATCAAGCCCTGCCAGTCTGCCGCGGGCGTGGGCTCATATGCACCAAATTGGCAGATTTCGACCAGGAACTATCCGCGGTCTGGCCGCGGGTAGTTTGGAGAGCCCGCTCGTACCAGAGAGACCGCGACCCTCTAATCACCCTTTGGGAGCAGGGGATTCGCCGCGCTTTTGCCGCGGGCGCGGGTGCTTTTGCCGCGGGCGCGGGCTAGAAGACCCGCGGGTGCGGGTGTTGCCCAGAAAGCCCGCGGAGTTTCTAATGGGTTCCGTACCCATTTTTCCGCTGGTGCGGGGTTTATTGGAGAGGGCGCGGGAATCCCGTTTTTCTTCTTTGCCTATAAATACACTTGTAATTCCTTTTTGAAGATAACTTTTAGAGAGAAGTTCTTGGTATTGGATTTGTATTTCAACATTGGATCAATTGTGCTTGGATTTCTTCATTTTCAATCATTAATGTTAGTAAGATTTTCTTCTTCTAGTTCATCTCTTACTTGATTGATTTAGTTTCATCTTTGATTGTTTGCATTGCTTGGATTTGAATTGGATATTGTAGTTGATATTGCTTTCTCTTGATTTTGATTTAGAATGATGATCAATGCTAATTCTAGTGATTTGTTCTTGAGTTACACCATGATCAGTGAGTAGATTAGTTGCTAGGGAGAAGGGGAAGCATGCTTGATTGATAATTTGTGCTAGTTGATGATCTTTGATTGATTGAATTTTTGAAATTAAATTGGTTGACATAGTTTTGCATGTGATTAATTAGATTAGGAATGATCAACCTTTAAGATTAATCTAGATTGCATTGCATTTCTTAATGACATGACCCGTCAAATTGAGAATTGCTTTAATTAATTGAGTTTTATTGTGAATTTCCTTGATTAGCCATTCATAGTGTCCCCTAGTTTGGCCTCTAGGAGATAGCTCTTGAACTCTCTTGATTGCTACTATTGTTTGTCCTTTGCAATGCTTGAATCAAACGAAGAAATTGTCGATTAGCACGATTATTGAATTAACATGTGGAACCAATATCCCTAGCATTTAGCTTATTGAATTACTTGATTAGTCTAATTTTGCTATCATAACACGAAAAATTTTCTCACTTTAATCTCCGAAATAGCTTGATTTAGGCTAAAGATAACACCAGCTAACTCCTTTGGGTTCGACCCTATACTTACCTATACTTGTTTTGGGTTGGTTTAGGATTTTATAAATAGTGTTTGATTTTGGGATAGACAATTAACGACTAGTTTATTCCTCTATCAAAATGGCGTCGTTGCCTTAGTTGTTGAGTCTATTTCATTTTAATTGAAAAAAAAATATATAAAATACAAAAAGATTTTGTTTCTTAAGGCTACATTTGTAGCCGTGCTACTAATATTTTCATTGAGTTTTGCATGCATAGAGCTCGTGATCGATCCATTGTGCCTTTTGACCCGGAAATCGAAAGGACTCTTTCAAGGAGAAGAATTGCTAGTCGATCCTTTGAATTTAGTTCTTCAAGCGAAGAAGGATTTGAAGAGGAACTAGGCATGGGAGATCAACCAAGAGTTGCTTTGAAAGAATTGGGAATTCCCGGTGCGTACAAGTTTGAGAGTGGAATTGCTCCACCTACAACACCGGCGAATGACTTCGAAATTAGGCCGACTATGATCGCTTTGATCGAAAGGAGACAATATAGCGGAGCTAAGAATGAGAGTCCGTTGAACCATCTCAAGGAGTTCGAAAAGTATTGCAACACTATCAAAGTGAACGGAGTTTCTCAAGAATTCATCCGGCTAAATTTGTTTCCATTTTCTCTCATAGGCCGAGACTTGGAGTGGTTGGATAAGGAGGTAAAGCCAAATTCCCTTCGAACATGGGACGAAGTCACCAAGGAATTCTTGTCCCGATTCTACCCACAAAAGAAAACCGCGGAGGCTAGGTCTTTGATTCAAGGGTTTTAGCAAAGACCTAATGAAAGCCTCTACGAAGAATGGGAGAGGTATAAAGAGTACCAAAGGGAATGTCCCCACCATAGAATTCCAACCTATCAAGTCATTCAAATTTTATATGGTGGCCTAAGTCCTCAAGGCAAATCATGCCTTGATGGGGGTGCCGGAGGTCCCATAATGAATCGGACGGAAGAGGAAGTGGTGGACATTATAGAGGACGTGGTTAAGTACTATAAAGATTGGCAAGATGGTGAGAGGGGTTCAACTAGCAAGAGTGGCTCTTCGGTGTACTCTATAGACCATCTAAATGCGATCAACAACTTATCCTCACAAATGACAAACTTGGGGAAAGAAATGACCGCGATTAAGGCCAAGTTGGAAGGCTCCTTTTCTTCTCAAGCTTCGAATTCTCCCTCCCAATTTAAGGGGAGAGGTACCTTTTCTAACTCTCAAACCCCTCCCTCTTCAAATAACATGCCTAGTGGTTGCTTGTTTTGTGATGCATGTGGATCTTATGATCATGACTCTTGTAATTGCCCTCATGCTTCTCCGCAATGTGGTGATGATTTTGATAATAGTGAGAGTGAGCATGTGAATTATGTGTCAAATAATAATGTGCAAAGGTTTGATAATCAAAGAGGTTAATGGAATAGGAATTACCAAAACCAAGGTAATTTTGACAACTATAACCAAGGTGGTGGTTATAGGAACAAGGGAACCAAAGTTCTCGTGGCAACTATAACAATCAAGGTTATAGTAGTCAAAATCAAAACCAAAATTATGGTAATCAAAACCAAAGTTATGGAAATCATAACCAAGGTAGTGGAAACCATAATCAAGGTTATGGTCAAAATCAAAATAGGGGTAATTGGAACAATCAAGGTAGGGGCAATTTTCAAAATAATTCTCAAAGAGATCCCCCACCCGGATTTGTTCCAAAGACTCAAGGTGAAAATTCCTATTCACAATCTTCTTCTTCTAGGACCAATTTGGAGGAAATAATTGAAAATCAAACCAAGTTGTTGAACACATATATGGCCATTAGTGACAAGAAGTTCAATGAAATGATGACCCACAACAAAATGATCGAAAACCAAATTTCTCAACTTGCTATTGATTTGAAAGACCAAGCAAGCCCTTCTTCTTTACCTTCCCAAGGCCTAGATCCCAAGAAACCCGTGAATGCTATTGTTACAAGGAGTGGTAAGGTTCTTGAGGAGAGATTGCCTAGGACGAGTGATAACAAGGAGGTCCCCAAGGAAGTTTTGGTTGAGAATGAGGGAAGTAGAGCATCTTTAGATGATGTTGTGGTTGAGACACCAAGAGAGGTGAGAGTAGAGAAAGAGATTGTGAAACCCAAGCTCCCTTATCCCCAAAAATTCATGAGACACAAATTGGATGAGCAGTTTGGGAGATTTATTAATATGCTCAAACAACTTCACCTTTCTCTACCTTTCACCGATATGATCAACCAAATGCCTAAGTATGCCAAATTCCTCAAAGACATTTTGAGCGGAAAGAGGACTTCTGATGTTGTGGAGACAATCAATTTGACTGAAAATTGTAGTGCGATCATCATGAACAAAATGCCACCCAAGTTTAAAGACCCCGGAAACTTTTCCATCCCATGTGCTATTAACAAGATGCAATTTGATAATGCCTTATGTGACTTAGGAGCTAGTGTAAGCTTAATGCCATATTCGGTTTATCAAAGACTTGATCTAGGGGAACTCTTACCTTCTAACATTACCTTGCAACTAGCCGATAGGTCAATCAAGTTTCCAAAAGGTAAAGTGGAAGATGTTCCATTGAGGGTTGGGAAGTTTGTGTTCCCGGTGGATTTTGTTGTTTTAGAAATGGATGAAGATGCTACCATTCCAATTATCCTAGGTAGACCCTTTCTTGCTACCTCGGGTGCTATGATAGATGTAAAGTGTGCAAAGATTTCCCTTAAGGTAGGAGATGAGGTCATAGAATTCGATTTGAATGAAAGCATAAAATATCCAAGTTCTTCTCTTGAAAATTGCATGATGATTGACTCTCTTGATCATGTTGTGTCTTCCATGCATGAGCACTTGCTCACCTCTAACGATTCTCTTGAGAATGTTTTGTTGAACAAAGACAAGCTAGGTGTACCATGCAAGGAGGTAGCATTGTATAAGGAATTGCTTAATAGAAGCATGGAGGAAGTGGATGAACAATTATGCTTGAAGATCACAAGCCATGAAGCTTTGCAAGCGGCCGCAACAAAAGAAGGTAAAGGTGTGCCTATGGTAGAGCTCAAACCTCTACCATCACACCTTAGGTATGAATTCTTAGGCCCAGATTCCACTTATCCCGTAATTGTTAGTGTATCTTTGAGCTAGAGCCAAGCTCAAGCGTTATGTTGTGTCTTGAGAAAGCACCAAGGTGCTTTGGGCTATACTATCGATGATCTTAAAGGTATAAGCCCCGCTTTGTGTACGCACCATATAACGCTTGAGGAAGGCACCCTTCCTTCTATTGAACGAAAAAGAAAGCTACACCCTCAAATGGGAGAGGTGGTGAAAAAAGAGATCACCAAGCTCTTGGATGCGGGAATCATATTCCCCATCTCAAGCTCTAGGTGGGTTTCTCCCGTTCATGTCGTTCCTAAGAAGGGGGGTATGACCGTAGTCAAGAATGAGAGTGGTGAGATCATTCCAACTAGGACGGTCACCGGTTGGAGGATGTGTATAGACTATAGACGTCTAAATACATCCACCAAAAAGGATCACTTTCCCCTTCCATTCATTGATCAAATGTTAGAGAGACTAACAAGGCACAAGTTCTATTGCTTCCTTGATGGCTATTCGGGATTTTTTCGAATTCCAATCCACCCCAAAGATCAAGAGAAGACAACATTTACATGCCCCTATGGGACCTTTGCCTATAGGAGAATGCCCTTTTGGCCTTTGTAATGCCCCCGCAACTTTCCAAAGGTGCATGGTGAGCATTTTTGGAGACATGTTGGAGGAAGAAATGAAGGTATTTATGGATGATTTCTCCGTAGGTGGGGTTTCATTTGAAGAGTGCCTAGTTAATCTTGAGAAATGTTTGGCTCGGTGTGTAAAGGTTAATCTTGTCTTGAATAGGGAGAAATGCCATTTCATGGTGGAGGAAGGGATATTGCTTGGGCATAAGATCTCTCATAAAGGAATGGAGGTGGATAAGGCCAAAATTGAGGTTATTGAGAAGCTTCCACCTCCGGTGAATGTCAAGGGAGTGAGATCATTTTTGGATCATGCGGGTTTCTATAGAAGATTCATCAAGGATTTCTCACTCATTTGCCAAGCCCCTTAATGATCTTCTTCAAAAAGATGTTGAGTTCGTTTTTTATGATAAATGCTTGGAAGCATTTAATAGATTGAAGAAGGCCCTAATATCTACCCCCATTGTTCAAGCCCCAAGATGGGATTTACCCTTTGAATTGATGTGTGATGATAGTGATTGGGCAATTGGAGGTGTTTTGGGACAACGTGTGGACAAGAAGCTTTATGTGATTTACTATATGTCCAAGACACTAAATGGGGCCCAAAAGAATTACACAACAACGGAAAAAGAATTCTTGGCCATTGTTCACTCTTTCGAGAAATTCCGGTGTTATTTGTTGGGTTCTAAGACCATTGTCTTCACGGATCATGCGGCTCTCAAGTATCTCTTTGCCAAGAAAGAGTCCAAGCCAAGTTTGATTCGTTGGGTGCTTGAATTACAAACTTTTGAAATAGAGATTAGGGATAAGAAGGGTGCGGAAAATGTTGTGGCGGACCATCTTTCTCGCCTTGAGGGTGATCAAATTCATGATGATGGTCTACCAATTGAAGATAGAATGCTTGATGATGTTTTTTATGCCATTAAGTTTAAGGATCTCCTATAGTATGCCGAATTGGTGAACTTTCTAGCATGTGGGGAGTTTCCACCTTCTTTCTCCAAGAACCAAAAGAAGAAGCTCAAGAGGGAAGCAAGACATTACTTATGGGATGAACCAATCTTGTATAAACGCGGGGTGGATGGCTTGCTTCGGCGTTGTGTCCCGAATGAAGAGGTGCCAAGTGTTCTAAAGATGTGCCATTCGGATCCAAGTGGCGGTCATATGGGCGTTTCAAAAACCGCCACTAAGGTTCTTCAATGTGGTTTGTGGTGGCTGCATCTCTTCAAAGATTCATGGGGCTTTGTAAAGTCATGCAACCGATGTCAAAGGGTTGGGAATATCTCCAAGAGGAATGAGATGCCTCAACAGCCTCTTCTTGAGTTAGAGGTGTTCGATGTTTGGGGGATTGACTTCATGGGACCATTCCCATCTTCATATGGTAATCAATTCATACTTGTGGCTGTGGACTATGTTTCTAAATGGGTTGAGGCCATTGCCTCCCCTACTAATGACCACAAAGTAGTGTTGAAGTTGTTCAACAAAATCATCTTCCCAAGGTTTGACGTGCCTAAGGCTGTGATAAGAGATAACGGATCTCATTTTGTTCACAACGCCTTCCAAAAGATATTGAGGAAACATGGAGTGCAACAACGGTTCGGCCTCCCATATCATCCTCAATCGAGTGGCCAAGTCGAGGTCTCCAATCGTCAAATAAAGCTCATTCTTGAGAAGACGGTTGCAAGGAATAAAAAGGATTGACCGGACAAGTTAGATGATGCTCTTTGGGCTTATAAGACGGCTTTCAAGATGCCTATTGGTACCACTCCATATCGTCTTGTCTATGGCAAGTCTTTCCATCTCCCGGTGGAGCTTGAACACCGTGCTTTATGGGCAATAAAAAAGATAAACTTTGATTTAGAAAGTGCGAGGGAGAAAAGGTGGTTGGATCTTCATGAGCTAGAGGAGCTTAGACTTGATGCTTATGACTGTGCTAGCACCTACAAAGCTCGTTCCAAAGAAGCTCATGATAAGCTTATTGAGAAAAAGGAGTTTTGTGTGGGTGATAAAGTCCTCCTCTACCACTCGAGAATGAAGTTATTTCCCGGAAAGCTCATGTGAAAATGGAGTGGTCCTTTCTTAGTGAAAGATGTTTTTGCTAATGGCACCGTGGAGATTTATCCTTTGGATTCCTCATCTTCTTTCAAGGTTAACGGTCATTGGCTTAAGAAATATTTTGATGGAGTGTTTGTTGTTCTTATTCATAAAATGATTCTTTTCAAACCACCTTGAGTGGGGTGATAAACGTCGAGCTAACGACGTTAAACAAAAGCGCTTACGGGAGGCAACCCGTATTCTCATCTTTACTCTCTTTTCCTTCCTTTCTTTTATTTTTGGTTTTTTGTTGATTTTTGCTCTTACCCTTCCTTGTGTTTTTGGTTTGTTTTGTAGGGTGCCTTCATTCATCATATATGGACTAAATGTGTTTGTTTAGGGTGATAAGAGGTTTTAGAGTGCAGGGGAGAGGGCACCAAGCGGGCTTGGAGAGGCCTCGGGTGCCCTTGCTTTCAACAAGTGGAAATCGGATCAGTAGCTGTCCGCGGTCTCTCCGCGGGCGCGGGTGCCTTAGAGAGAGCGCGGGGGAAATTCAGAGAGGGTGCAGCTCATTTTCTAAAAATTAGACCAGGAACTCTCCGCAGTCTCTCCGCGGGCGCGACAATTTTGGAGCGGGCGCGAGAGAATTAGAGAGGGAGCGGCCCCTGGTCAAGTATGAAATTTACGGATTTTCCATAAACTTTTCGCGGTTGCCCCGTAGTCTCTCCGCAGGCGCGGCAATTTTGGAGCGGGCGCGGCTTTGTCGATAGAGGGCGCGGGGATCTGGGTTTTTAATAGACCGGGTTCCTCTCTCTTTCTCTCTCCTCTTTTATTTTCCCTTTCACTCTTAATTTTCCCCATTCTCTCTCTTCCTACTCTCAAACCCTAACCCCCAAATCATCTCTTTCACTCAATTTTACTCAAATTCACCCTTGTTTTCTCTTAAATTTCCATCCAAACTTCCTTCATACTCCATTTTCATCAAGTTTGCTCTTCTTTCTCGTGGTTTTCTTCGGGAATTTCGAGTCTACTCGGTTTTGTGCTTGATTTGAGTCTTCAATCTTGGTATACTTCTCACCTTTGTTTTATTTTTTTCAATTTCAATTGATTTTTATGCATTTGTTGTGAGTGGCCTTGATAAAGCTTGAGTATGATGTTTTTGGTTGTTTGTTTGGTGGTTTTGGAATTATTTTGGATGTTTTTGTGCTTCTTTTTGTGATAGATTGTTAATATTGTTGGTTGTTGAATTTTTGGTTGTTTGTTACTTGTAACAGGTACTTTGTAGTTTGTGGTGGTTTTGGGTGGTCTTGTGAACGGAGGTTTGTTCACTTTGGTGGTAGTGTTGAATTTGGGTGTTTTTTGTGATTCATTGTGTTGGTTGAACTTGAAACTATGGATTTGTTGAGGAGAGTTAAGAGTAGCAAGAGAAGTTCAAACCGATCCCCCGGCCAATCCTCTCGTGGCCAACCTTCAAACACCGAACCCCCTCAAACCCAAACTACTCAAGATAATGCCCCACCTCCTCCTTTACCCGCTCTCAAATTTCATAACCGGGCTAAACACACCCCTATCTATAATAAAATGAAATCCCGGAAATTTAGACCGTCCCGCAACTATTTTCCCGAGGATATGGAAAAATTGGGTGTTGATGCCGATCTTAACATTTTGCTCCATAATCTTGGTTTGGTTGAGTTTGTAAAGTCATCCCCCCGAACTTATTTGGAACCATGCATTGAATTTTTCTCCACCTTTGAGTTTAATATGACGGGGGATACCGACTATATCATCTCTTTTCAACTTTTCAATTCCAAGTATACCATGAACCTTGAGGAATTCAACAAAGCCCTTGGTTTCAACCCAATACCGACATCTTTGAGCCCTTGGTTGCCCTTCACAAGACCGAATACAATGAGGTTGCTTGGTGGAGAGTCATATCTAGGAAGAAGTCGTTTAACTCTAAGGAATCGCTTGCTAGCGAGATTATTCACCCGGCTCTTCGTATTCTCCATCGGATTCTTGGGTATACAGTGTTTAGTAAGCAAGATCTTGGGTAGCTTTCGAGGGAGGAGATCTTGGTGCTTTGGATGGCTACAAGGCCGGATTTGGGGCCAAGGTTGAATTTTGGGTATCTTTTCATGAATTGTTATAAATTGATCACTAATGGGAAGAAGACGGGTGAGATTCATTGTGGTGGTATGATTACTAGATTGGTGCATTATTTCAAGCAAGAGCGTTTATTGAGGTCTTGCACTCCGATTGGAAAGAGTGAAGACATTTATTTGGATATGAAGCAACTTAACACCTTGAGCTTGCACCATTTTTTGCTCCCAAACCCGGCTGCCACCTTAATCACTCGAGAGGCTAGGATTGTTTGGAGGATTCCCGAGGATGATGGGAGGGTTGATAATGTTACGGAGGAGGATGCTTGTGATGAGGACGATGATGAGGATGATGGGCATGATGGTGAAGGTGAAGAAGGAGAAAGTGGTGAAGAAGAAGAAAATGAAGAAGAGCAACAACAACAACAATGGCAATTTCAGCATGAACAGCAACAACAACCGCATCAAAGAGGAAGAAGAAGATAACAACATCACCAACAAGAAAACCAAGGAGATGCATATCTCCGTGAGATGGAGGCTATGCGTGAGCATATGGAGCGCATGCAATTGAGCGTGCAAGGTATGTATTCAAACCATCAAACTTTGTCTTTTCAAACTAGCGCCCTATATGACGCTAGTGTGCGTAGGGGGGAGGTCATTCCTCCGGTGAACTACCCTTATGTGCCGCCCCAACAAGGGCTGGTGCCATCTTGGGGTGGTGACAACCTCCCCACGTACCCATATTGGAACGGGGTTGCGAACCCCGATGAGCAAGGCGTGACTTCCCAGATGAGTCCGGTCATTATGACTACCGGGTCTCGGGGGGAGTGATTGTCGGGGTGACCCCGACTACTACTATGTTCACCCCACTCACCCCGAGCTGTGTATGCAACCGGAGCCTTTTGACCAATTATCCACATCTCAACTTGACCTTTTTAAGGGTCGCTATGGGTTCCTTCCCGGTTATACCGGAGGTTGGGATGTGGATGATGGTGGTTCCGGCCCTAGTGGCCAATAGTTTTCCCCTTGGTTGTTTCATTCCCTTTTTGTTTCCTCCCTTTTAGCTTTGCATGTTTTTAAGTATCGCGGTCGATGCCCTTATTTTGTACGGGGGGAATCAAATAGGATGTTTTAGGGTAGGTTTTTGGGGAGGCACCTTGGACTCTTGGGGATGTGTTTGAAAGGGATTTGATGGATTTCTCTTGCTTCGCTCTTGGTAGTCTCGTTGGTATGTTGTTTATCTTGTTGTCTTGGTTTTTGATGATGATGATGTTTTGTGGTCCCTTCTATTGATGATGATGATGATGGTTTCTCTGGTTCTTTGTACATAGTTTTCGCGTAAGTTTACTTTTGTTTGGAAGTTACTAACAATTTCATTTTGTATATAGTCCTTTTCTTTTCTTTTTCTCACCTTGCTCATAGCCACTGCTTTGGTCTTCGAAGCTTCTTAGAGGAGGTCGTTCTTGCTCCTTTATTATTGCAGCATAGCTTGGACGCTTGGTGAGGCCTTTCTTGTTTTATCTCTTTACTTTTCTTCCTTTACTTTTCTTGGTTGCTTAGATTAGGATTAGTTTTAGGAGAGTTGAACGGTTCGAGGATGTATGATTATAACACCTAGTGTGTTTGGGGTCTTTGGCGATGTGGCCATTTGACCGCTTGTTTGTCGATTGGGAAATACGTGTTATGATTGCATCTTTGTCCTTTTCTTTGTTCTCATACTTTTCCTTTATCTTGGTTTTCCATATTTTCTTTTCTTTTCTTTTCTTTTCTCTTCTTTTTGTTCTTGGTTTTGTACATAGCCTTTCGAGGCTTTATTTTTCCACTCTTTCATTCTTTTTTTGACTTGGATTTGTAAACAATGGACTCTTTCTTTTGGATAATAACCTTACTAGGTGGTCATGGTATGAACGGTTTGAGAATACATTTGGTTGATTCTAGGATAAAGCATGCTAGGGTAGTTGTCTAGAACTAGGGGGATCATGAAGCCGGATTCTTCTTGTTTGTGGCATGTTGGTAGTTGCTCCCTATCTTCGATTTGACAACCTTAGTGAGTTTTTGCTACAACCATGTGAGATTCATACTTTTTCAAGCTTTCATCATATTCTTGCATGAGCGGCATGGATCCTTGACTTTCTCAAACTTAATCTTGAATCTTAACATATGATTCCTAAGACCGAGACCGAACCACCTAGGGAGGACAAAGGCATCTTTTCGGGGAGGTATTTTTCCTTTTTCTAGGATAGTTTCCTTATTTTTACTTTTGGGTTTAGGGATACATTTGCCTACTTGCTAGCCCTTTGAACTTTTTTTTTCCCTTCTTTTCAAGCCACATATTTAGAATTCTTGAGCCTTTTATTTCATTTTCATTTTTTTCTTGGTTTTTGTGAAGCAGTGGTCAATGTTGGAAGATTGTGGTGTATAAGTTTGGATTTTGGTTCAAATTGGTGAACAAGGTTGAGTTGTTTATATTTGGAAAATAGTGGAAAATGACTAAGTAAAAGCCATCCCAAATAAAAAGGCAAGGACTAATGCTTTGATAAAGTAAGAGAAAATTCAAAAAATTCAAAAACTTCAAAAAAAACATAAAAATCCAAGTGTCTTTCTCCCTTTTATGCATTAAGGACAATGCTCCTTTTAGCTTGGGTGGAAAGCGTTTGCGCTTTTTGTTCTTATGTTTGTATATTGTTGCTTTGAATAAGCTTGGGGGTGTTAATTTGTTTTTGTTTGGTGATTACTCGATTTTGGTGTTAAGATTTGGCCAATCTTTGCTTCACAATTTAGGTTAACCACCAAATTTTAAATTTAGCCTACCTTAACCCTTTTTGCCTTACGTTACAACCATTGGGAAGACCTTTTGACCTAGGGGTTGAGTCATTCATCGGTGGAGGGAATCATGGGTTATAGCCAAAGGAAAGGAGATGCGAAGTC